CAGTGACTGAGTCACCGCAACGATCGCACGGCATTCCACATTCCGCAAACTTTTCAAACCCGGCAAAACCAAAAAATGTTTGGCAGGGGCAAAAAATAGACGGCGGCTCAATACCAAACGATTGGGTTGCCAATTAAACGAAATGCTTTCCATTCGTAAGATCATAAATCGTGCTACGTCAAGAGAGGGGGGCCCACAAACTAATTGTTTATGCCAAGAACATGGAAACGAGGCGCATTAAATAAACAAATCAGCAAACGCCAGATTCAAGTAAATAAAAGCAACGGCTGAGAAATTGTTTCAGCGAATTACTTACTGAATAGAAAATCCCACATACTGTTTGGATCTTTGAAATTTTACAGTCTACAGTGGCTATTGGTTAAGGGAAACTAAGTGAGAGTAGAGTTTACAAGAGGAAAAGTGATTTGTAAACTTTATTTGGTTAACTGATCAAATCGTTTCGGAGAATTATAGAATAGAATAACTGAATAGACTGAATGATATTCACTATTTACAGTATTTACTAGTGTAAGCCAATATTAAAATGTATTAATAATTTAAAGAAAGGTAATCAACATTTACAACTGTACAATTATATCTACATATTTTTGTTTATGTATAATGGGATATTTCCTCTCGAATTAAATTCCCATAAATTGTTCGGGAATTTCCATTTCTTCTTAGTAATTTTCAGCTTTTCATATTAATTTTTACAATAACAAGACAGGAAACTAACCTAGCGAAGCCGAAGTTAATACACTCTTGCAGTTTGCAATTAAATTATACGATTAAATGGAAATTGATCTTAACGAGGCATAAAATATGATCGTTTTTTTAATTAAAAATGTTCAACATTTTTATATTAAAGATTTAGATTCTCTAGATTTTATATGGAAATGGCTAGATCGATTCAGCAGTTGATGCTGATCAGGAATATACATATATGATTTATAAGGTCGGCCTATGACTAAAATTAAAATAGCCTGCAAGGGTATAAAATAATAATAATTCAAGCCCACCTTTGCCTAAATAATAACAAACAAATCAGGTCAGCTTTTATCTAAATCTTTTCTATATAAACATTATGATTATAGAGAGCTAACAATATCAGCTGATAAAGCAAACTAATTTATAGGCCCCTAAAAAAACCGAATGATAAAGGTTTTATCACTATAATTAGGGAATTACATGAATATTTGGTTCACGAAAAACATTTATAGACCTTTATGATTTATTTACTTCAACAGTAATGCCTTGAGATAATATATTTTTAATTTAAAGGTTTATTTATAGTAATTTATCGCCTTGGCAAAATGCAACAAGTGTCAGCGGTCGAAGCGCCTTTCCAAGATAAAAAACATTCCATTCCTGCCGTTCATTATTTACTGTATCATTTTGAAGAAGTGCAGCTACAGAATCCCTTTGGATATATAGAATATATATGTATAGAAAAGCCCACCCAAAATGCCAATTGGCATCGCTGCTCTTTCATTATTAATCTTTTTATGGCCCCTCGCAAATTGGCCGACAGATAAGAACGGAATGCCAAGCAGAGGAGCCATAAAACCACCAACCAAAAAAATTAACGAACAAAAGCCAGGCAAACCAAATAGATAGTAATGTTTACTGAATGTATGCATACATATATCCGTACATACATACATATTATTGCGAGGCAATCGTTTTCTTTCCAGACTGGAGGAACCTCAACGATTGGGGAGGTGCGCGTGCGAAACGCAAATATGCGCGTGTAACTTGTATTTCTGCTGAACAGGCAACGTTTGCTGCTAATTTTTGTTACAAATTAATTATTATTATTATTAATTATTGCAAAATAAAGAGCGCGAAGCAAGGCAAGCGGAAAATAGAAACCCCGAAAAGCTTCCCAGAATCGATTTCAGCATTCAGCGAGTGTGGATATGGATATGGAATTAAAAAAAACGTCAGCAAAGTCAACTGCGGCGCCTAATTAAAGCGAACAACAAAAACAACAACAATGGGAAGCTACGGCCGAGTCGGATTCCAATTAGAAGCGTCGAATTCCAATTAGGTGGGACGCTGCGTCACCAAAGCCCAATGACATTTTTGCGCTGCGCAGGCCCCCTCAGACGTAGCTGGATTAATTAACCCCGCCGTTCCCGACCGCGTGACACATGCGCTAAATTACACAAAAACCACTCACACACAGACAAATAACCCATTTACAGTCAAGCTTCCACAGGTCAAACGTCAACAAGTTCAAGAATTTGTAACCCAAAGAAGCAATAACCTAAAATGGCAGCTATAACTCATAACCTGATTTTGTAAGCCAAGGTTCACATGATTAAAATAGGTTATTTTAACCATTTAATAATCATAAATTAAACTTAAGATCTCCTAACCAATTTAATTAAATATTTAACATTTAAAAAACAATGATCTTTACTCTAAACACTTGATAAAAGTCTAAATTCAACAAATGTAACAACGAAGCTGAGAAAGCTTCTACAAATACTTTTAAAAACAATATAATTAAAAAAACGGAAATCAACTAGCACAGATTTGACTAGACCCACATTTTAAATACTTTCAAAACTGAATTTACAATTTGAAATCTTTTTTAAGACGTTAAAAACAAGGAAAATCTTTTGCGTGGCTCTACTGTAAGTAGATATATACATATGTATAGGTACATACATATATGCGGAGTGTACAGATACTACGTCTTTATGTACATTTATTGCACACGCCTGTATCGACGGCTGGCTGCACTGGCTCGCTCATCAATGATTTTGACTTTGCCTGACCGCCCCAACATGGAAATTGACACTGACTGCGAGGGGACACACCCACCAACACCAAAGCCAACGATCCGAACGACGACGAGGACTCACCCACAAAGGCTTTTAGCTCGTAGTCCACGCCACAGGACTTGCCCACATCACCGGGGGCCGGCTGCAGGGAAACGGAGGCGGGGCAGTAGGGCGGCACCTCGAAGTAGAAGGGATGGGCGTTGGGTCCCAGCTTTTTAATTAGCCGCTCCTGTAGCCGGGTCATCGGGCGCTCCAGCTGCATGGGCGGATAGATTTGCTCGTGAGCCAAATACAGATCCTTGCGGAACGTCAGGCCCAAGACGTCGAGGTCCTCGCGTCCATAGCGAAAGGCAGCCAGTACCTGGCCAAACACCTTGCGGTCCTTGACATACTCCGGATCGATGAACACCACACCGTCGATGGGATCCACATGCGTTACATGGTCGACAAAGTCACGCTTCCCCAGGTACACGGTGATCTTGCCGTTGGAGGAGCTCTTCTTAAAGACGCGCGTCGCCTGCCTTCGTGAGCTGGCATCGCCGCCAGCTTCATCGCCAGCGGCATTCCCGGCAGCTGTCACATTTGTGCTGGAGCCATTGCTGCCAGTTGCTGCTGCTCCTCCTCCGTTTCCCCCACTTCCAGCACTTCCGCCTCCACCGCCTCCTCCTCCTCCACCACCTCCGTTTGTGCTGGCGCTGAGTGTGTTCATTGGTGGTTGTGTGTGTGCTCCTGGAGCGTCCGCCTTCTCCGTCGCTATCCTTTCGCCGCTGCTCTAGTGCTTATCCGCTCGTCGCGACGTTTTATAAATATATCTGTGCGCTGCAATTTAATTTTTTATGTGTATACTTATTTCGGTAATAACCAACACTGAGCGGGAGGTTTTCCCACACTTAACCCATTTTAACTTAAAATACCAAAAAAAGAAAAATATTAACGCAGTCGTGGATTTTTGAGAACTTCACCAATGGTCACACCATGAAAAAAAAACCGCAACACTTAGCCTAGCTTCGCACCTTTCGGCAGGCTGGCCACGATAATATTGATTAATTTCGATTATTACGTTATCGACCAGCTTACGCCAAACACAGTCTCACTCAGTGCTGCCAGAAGATGGGCACCTAAATAAGCTAGATTCTGACAGAAAATAGGCTAAAACAAGCTAAACAAATAAAATAGCTTCATCACAATGACAAAAAAACATACATTTTTATTATTTAATTAATTCATGTTTAATAATTTTTATCTTATTTTTGTTTACTTTTTGGACTCAAATAATTTTCAGCGATTATTTGTTTTATAAATAAATAAATAAATAAATAAATTTAAATCAAAATTTTCGTACGCACTGAAGGAGTCATTTCCTACTATATAAGGTATATATTCTTGATCAGTTTATAAGTTATGTGAATGCAACTTTGCAGTTGGTCTTATATATACTCTCACTAGTATATAAGTCGGATATTCCATATTTATTCCATATGGCATATAGCTGCAATAGGTAAAATCTGAAAATTTATAGAATAAAACTTTCTGTTTTTATCAGATTTGCATATAAATTGATGTATAGCTATTTTGTATTATTTTAAAATTCAGTGTTATTAATTATGACTACTATATCATTTTATTAAATTAAACGACTAAATAAAATTAACTAGGAAATTCAAAACTGTTAATGTAAAACTGTAACTGTAATACTATATAACTGTAATATACGTAAATATGTATATATTGTAATAAATATTATTGATCGAATTGCAATCCACTTCGACGTGTAGACGTTAGCTTTCCTTTTGATATTATTTGAAATGCACGTAACCATCGGAAAAAAAACTCCAATATATGTAGCTAATTTTCTTACGAATACAATTATTTACAGAATTTGCTTCATAAATATAAATTTGAGATATTTTTAGCTGGCAGCTAGATGTTTAAAATAAATTAAAAAAAAAATAAAAAATCCTATTCTATTTTATTTCAAGTTTATTAACAATTTTAGTGTGGTTAAAAAGATATATACAAGATACAAAAATTTATTTATTTTCTAATTATTATTATTAGTTAATATGGAAAATCAATGTAATACTTATAATTTAAACGGTTTTCTCATCCGATGCGCATTATAATTATAGATGAAGAAATATCGATGATTCCCAGCCAAAAACATCGATGACATCGATATTGGCATCGATATTGGCATCGATGTACTTCCACCTCTACTCCCCCACGTGGTTCCAAATTTCCATTTAACAAAGCACGCGGCGGCAACATATTTGCGTTGAATTCACTTGATTTTGATCAGTTTGACCAGCAGAACACAATAAAGAAACGCAATGGCCCAAAAGAAAGCCGTAGCCGCCAAGGGCAAGAACGGAGTTGAGAAGCCCGCCAAGCGCGGCGCCAAGGCCGTGCAGCCTCAAGAGGAGGAGGAGGAGGAGGAGGTGGTGTCAAAGTTGCCGGCAAAGAAGGGCAAGAAGCTGCCGGTCAAGGAGGTGCCAGAGTCCAGTGAAGAGGACTCCGATGATGAGGAACAGGATGGTGGCGAGGAGGATGACAGCGACTCCCAGGTATGTTTGAGAAAAACGTGTTCACCTGTCATTGTGTCTCCGGCGGCCCTATGACGCTGTTGCCATGTGCCATGTGTTTCTGCGTGTAAACTTTATATGCAAAGCAGATAAATACTTATGTATGTAGGATACAAGCCTGTTAACGTGTTTTATTTATGTTTCCTTATTCCTAAACTTAGTTAAACATTAGTGTGGTAGTATTATTATTCGTTATTCAGTAAAATGGGAATGTTGGTTGGGTTGTCGTTCATTATATCACTCTACATTGATGATTCTTAATTGTACATTAGTATATTTCCATATGTTTCATATTAGTTTAGTTAATAGTTACATTGTGATTTAAAATACCAACTTTTTGTACCATTTCAGGCTGAAGATGTAGGAGATTTGATTGATGACGAGGCGGAAGAAGATGATGATGATAGTGAAGAGGACGATGACGATGAAATTGAGCCTGGTCAGGCTTCTTTCGACAACGTTCAAGCCGGTGAGGATAGCGCAGATTCCGAAGACGAGGCGCCGGTGGAGGAGCCTGTTGGCAAGAAGGTAGCCAAAGTAGCTGACCAAACCAATGGCAAGGAGTCAGACGCCAAGAAGGGCGGTATTCCGAAGGTACGCGTGGGCAAAATTCCTCCAGGAACGCCCAAGAACCAGCTCATTTTTGCCAATAACTTACCAAAAGGTAATTAAACAACTTTAAATATATTTAAAACGATTATCACGAATATGCCGGAACTCATCTAATTTCTTGTTCCGCAGAATTCAAGCATAAGGAGGTGGTTGCCCTGTTCACCAAATTCGGGCCGATCTCGGTTCTGAACCGCATTACAGACAAGAAGGGTGAGAACAAAGTAATTGTTGCCTTCGAAACGGCTGCTGGTGCCGAGGCTGCTCTGGCGGCCAAAGAGAAGTCTCTGACCTTGGGCGGTAAGGTTCTGGCCGTGAGCCTGCTGCGCGATAAGAACGAAAGCGACGATCTAACCGTCGTGGTGGGCCTGTTTGGACCCCATATCACTTACAAGGAGATCAAGGCCCACTTCGAGCAGATCGGTCCCGTGGAACTCGTAACCGTGTCCAACAATCAAAATAACCCAAAAGCTTTTGTGCGTTACACTAATAGTGAAGACGCCAAGAAAGCCCTCAAGCTGCACAGCACCGAGTTCTTTTCGCGCTTCATCACGGTGCGGCCAAAACTGTTTAGATCATATTCGGACAAGAGCCCAGAGACTACCTTGATACTCGAGAACGTGGGCAAGCACGAGTCCTTTAGTACCGATGTCATTGAAAAGATCTTCAAGAAGTTCGACGTGGACTTTGTTGATGTGGTGTGCAGCAAGATGGTGCTGGCCTTCATCACCTTTAAGCAGCCGGAAGGCGCCACAAATGCCTTGGCCCAGCTCAATGGCAAGACTTTGAGTAATTTGGAGTTGAAGCTAGCGCGTTTCCAGCGCACCAGCTCGGGACGTGCCACTCTGGTGACGAATCTGACCAATGGTGAGTTGAATATAACTAAAATCCCATAGTAATAGGTCAGAAATCAAATAATTTTTTTTTTTCTTTTAGATACCACCGAAGAGCAGCTGCAGGAATTGTTTGGCCAAAACGGTGACATCGAAAGCATCCAGATGTTGACCAACAAAGCCGTGATAAAGTTCACCACCGATGATGCCTTTTGCAAGTCCTTCCTGTTGAACGAGTCCGTGATTAACAACCAGCCAATCTTTCTGGAGCCAAACTCGCTGCTGAAGCACAGAATATTTATGAAGAAGCACAGGTTTGGTCATGGTGCTCCCCCGGCTGGCAAATTCCAAAAGACTGGAAACAACAAGAGCTTTGGCAAGAAACCCTTCAACAAGCGCCCTCATCCGGAGAACGGTGCCAAGCCGTTTGTGAAGCGACCCAAGTTCTAGAACCTGACAACGCACGAAGTTGGTTTAGTCATAAGTTATCCATTATCACGGCCACAAGATCCCCCCCCCTTAATCCAATGTCACTGGATTTTAGACTGTAAGAGCTCCTCCCCCACAAACCACTACAAAAATTTGTATGGAAATATTAATACTAGCCGTACTTTTTAAACTGTTTTTATGAACAGGAAACAAATAAAAATGAGCCCATAAAATCATTTGAATTTTATAATTATTAAATTTGGGTCATTTTTATAAGAGATTTAGATTTGGTTCTAAAAGAGAAAGTCGAGCTTTACTTGACTTAATATTAATATAATTTGCATTTTCTAAAATTTGTATTTTGATTAACAATTGTATGTCACCATTCACAATGTATATTTAAGGCAGCTATCGTTGATTATTGTTAGCTTTCTTCAAGTGGTTATTGAAAGAGCGTAGAAATCAAGGATTTCTTGTCCTGTTTGGCTCATATTTTTTTAATTATCCTTTTTATATAATCTAACAGCTTGGAGCTTCAATAGATGTAAACAAAAATGTGTTGGCACATTTGGAGATGGCCATACTTTGGAGGCGGGTAAAAATTGTAAATTACCGGCACGTACCGGCTGCTAAGTAAGTGAATGGGGTTATAAGTGTTTTTTCTCTGTGTGTGAGTGTGTGTGCTTTGTTGTTTTGTGGGGGGTACTCGAACCGGCGGGCCCAAGCAGCTCCCTCTTACCCGCGGACAAGTGATTCATTACACTTTGCACACGATGTCGCCGGTCGAGTGATTCATGCTAGGCAGAGAGCCAGCGACGACGTCGCACTCCACACGCAAACATTTCATTTCTCCAGCATGGCGCTCCCATTGCACCACCCCATCCTCGCCAGGCCCCTTTGCTGCCCTGCCTCCATATGTATTGGCCACATTGCGCCTTTGTTCCATACCATCTTGGCCATAATGCAAATGAGCAGAGGCGGTCGTCCAATGATGATGAGGAGGGGCACTGCCACTGGACTGCACTGTTGAACTGAGGGCTTGGTTAGGTCACTGGCCATAATGAGCCCAATTCATAACGCCCTTTAAGGGTTGTCTTTTAGGGCGCTGCCCCCGAGGAGGTGCTTCAGACGGGACGATGACTAATTAAAGTTTACAGTTTAGAAGGAAGGGTATTCAAAGCAATCCGATACTTATATGTACTAAATCATAAATATATTTTGTATATTTTGTAAATAGCACACCGAAGTTTTATACCCTTTCAGTTTGATCATGAAAATAATCATAACTATGCCAAAAATACATTAATTTCAATTCGGAGAGCTGTTTAATGATTGCTTAAATTAGCTTAATAAATTTGTATAACGAATTTAAAGTTTAAAAAATTTTAAACTTTTTATGAAGTTTTGTCAATTTTAACGATGTAACACCCTTATACATTTTTGAAAATTTTGAAAAACATAAATTTTGTACATGACAAAGCTAGATTGATTCGGCTGTTGATGCTGATCAAGAATATACATATATACATATATATGGAAATTATAAGACTCTGTAAGGGTATAAAAATAACCTTATAATACCATGCAAGGGTATTTTAATAATCCAATCCTCTTTAAATTATAGCTTCCATGAAATTGATTTAATAAAATGGGTTGCCTAAATAAATAAATATATATATTTTTAATATATGTTTAAATTCCAAAATAAAATAGAATAGTTCCCAAATTAAATAAAATATATTTTTTTTAAATTTGAAATGGGGAAGTAATGGTTATTAAATATTAGCCTTTTTAAAGAAAAAAAAAAAACAAAATAAAATTCCCCCAATTGCTTAAAAGTTGTTAAAAAGCCAAGTGTTTTTTTTATTTTTTTTGTATATTTAACATTTATTAGTAATAAATTTTCTTGTAATATCTGTTAATTTCAGTTTTTGTTTTTATTTTGGTTGTTTTCACTACATGCTCACAAATATGTTCTTGTTGTCTGATATATGTATTTATGGTATAGATAGTTGTATATTGGTTTATGTATTTAGTTGTTTTTTTTTAAATATTCTTTTATATTTTGTATATTTCTTGTATATGTAATTTAATAAATTATAGGTATTAGTTATTCGTTTGTTTTCATCATTTAGGTATGTACGAGTACTTTCTGTTTTCCCACTATCTGTAATTGGTAATTTTCAAAGAACTTTTCCATGCAATTAAAGTGTATGTGTAAATATATTTATAAATGTATAAAAAAAGAAAAACGTTCCCTTGACTGAATGCAACGGAAAGTAAGTTCAGCCAGCCAACCGGAGAGGAGTCCAGGTCGGATCCAGATCGGTCCACAGACCCCCAAGGGCAGTGTATCGGTCGGTTATGAATCACTAAATCAGTCTGTCTCTGAACTTGACGATAATGGTCGGGACCGGGGTCGGGAATTGGATCTATACCTTTTTGTTTTTTCGCCCATTCAAGCCAAACTAATTGCGGCCATGAAGGTTTCATATTTTTATGGATTTCGTTGGCTGCGTCTAAGTCTCTCTATTCTCATGTGGCTTTCGACTTAACTTTTTCAATAGATGTAAATGTAATTATCGTAATTTAGCTTAAGCTTTAGTTAGTTGTTAGCAAATCACTACTAATAATAAGGCAAATGAAAGTGAAGGGCACTAGGGGCGGGATTTTGGGCGAAACCATAACGCAAATCAACTACGAGTAACTAACTCTCTCCCTAAACTACACAACTAGAGCTCGCTGGATACCCTTCTATGCGTTGGGTATTGTATATTTGATTTATATATATATATGTATATGTATTTAAATATAGGCAAACTTTCAACTCTAGCAACTTAATCACTAAAAAAATCCTCCGTTTGGGTTTTACTTTCACAAAAGCAGGCAAAATTGGTTTCTCTCAGTATCAATAAATTCGAGCCGTTGACGCTTTGGTATATCTCTCATTCCTTCCACATCATAATAAATATATATCGTCTCTGAATAAGAACTATAAAATAATACAAAGATATGAAACTGAAAGCAAAAGGTAAAATAAATCAAAAGACTATTCATTTTGTTTTTAAGTATTTTTTTGTGGTTCGTTTTTGTTTAATTTTTAATTGGTAATATCGTTTTAAACATACAATATGTATATAGAGAAAGAGGGTGTGGTGTGTATAGAGTGGGGTGCTGGAGTTACATTAAATGTTCTGCTTATTAATGATGTTGATTTTCTCATTTCTTTTTTCTTCGTGTGGCATAATTAACAAATTAAAAAATAATAATACATTGGACCTTAGTTGGGTCACAAAACATAGGAGCAAATAAAAGGAAATAAAAGAAACCTTTAAAACAGAAAACATTCAGAGATATTTAGTTCATATTTTTTTCTTTCTTTCTTAGTTTTTGTTGAAATTATAATAATACACTGGGTTAAGAGTTTATTTATTTGTTTGTTTATAACCAATAAGTAAGAATGTCTGAGTGCAACAACATTTTTTGTTTTTTAATTCTTGGGTGTTGTTTTTAAGTGAACTTGGAGGAACGTATACAACATGTAGAATCCAAGGGTGCGCTGGGAAGTACAGAGTGAAAACACATCAATTCTTCTTTGATCAGTATTTAAGGTTCTTATTAATTCTCTTTTTTTAGTGTTTTTGTTTTTCTTTTTGTTTTTTTTTTTACTGGTTAGCAGTCTACATTTTCAGCTGCGCAAATTACATACGTTGCCTTTTTCTTGGATTAGTTTTGATTCATTTTTTTGTTGTTGTTTTGTTTTGTTTTGAATTTTTTTTGTTTAGTTGTCGTTTATTTACGTTTTAGGACGCCGACTATAATAGCTACAGTTAAACTTGGATTATCATTCTCATTTTCTTGTTCTTTCCTTCTTCCGGTTCTTGCTACATGACAAATTTTTGACCTTTTTCACGGTTTTCAAAGTTCTCATTTTGGAATTGGTTCCATTAATGGGTTTTCTTTAAGAGTACGCATAATGACAATTGTTTTTCTCGACGCGGTTCGTTGATACAAAGTACAAAGATACAAATAATTTTAGCACAACATGAGCAAAAAAATAACAGAGCGTGGTGAGGAACAATTACTAAAATATAAAAAAACCTTAAATAAATGAGCGAGAGAAAACAGAGCACACGCTGTCGTAATATTTCCATCATTCCGTAGCACAAAAGTTCCCTACGCTCAAGCTCCCTCCGGGTATACTTTATCCACATACATTAATATATATAATATAAATATATTTAGCAAGAATTGTCGAAGATGTCATCGATCTCGTAAATAAATTGAATGGATAGCAATTCATAATTTTGTTGGCATTCTTTACTCTGCCGGATGCATCATCATCATCAGTTCTTCGTTTTCTGTTCGTTTGTTTCGTTTTTTCTTTAGTTTTTTTTTGAAATTACTCCTTCGGTTCTCGTGCTAAATACTTTTGCTTAATATGTTTTATAATATTAGTAAAGTAGTTTCAGCTCTGGTTTTGCTTCTGGAATCTCTCTCTCTCTCTGGGCGCAACGTCCTTTAGAAATCCAGCAGGGCCACTTCGGCAGCGGCAGCGTTTACTTGATCTTGAATCGGCGGCTGCTCCTGGATTTCCTGGGCCTCCTCCACATCGTGCACACCGTTGCCGTTCTGCTTGATAGCTTCCTCCTCCTTGGTGTCACCATTGGTGGCTGCAGCTGGCTCGGCCGGCGGTGCAGCGGCAACTGGTGCCTTAATGGGAGTGGGTGTGGATCCCTTCAGCGGTGTCGACTTGCGCGCCTTCAGTCCGGCCGGCGATGGTTTGGCAGCGGTGGCGCTTTCTTTGGCTTTCGGTGTCAGCGGCTTGGTGGTGGCAGTTTTCAGTGGTGATGCCTTTATGGGTGATGACTTCCTCAGAGATGCCGACGCCGTGGTTGATGTCAAGCTGGAGCTAGTGGTGGTGCCCAGTGGTCGTCGTGCAGTCGCGCTACCATTGGTGGCCGTCGAATGGGTAAACTTGGGAGCCGGACGAGCCGTAAAAGTCTTTGTGATCGTTGTGGTTGTGGTGGTGGTCGTAGTGGAGCTGGTGGCCTTGCTGCCCAATCCATTGGTCGTCGGCTTGGTGGGGCTGCGAGCCGTGAGCGATGTTCCGTTTGTGCTGGCCACCTTGCGCACCGCGCTGGTGGTACTGACGGCAGCACGTGGCGAGGGAACCTTTGGCTTGGCCGCCGCCGCCGATGCCGTTGTCGAGGCAGCCGGCAAGCGTGGCTTGGGTGCGGCAGCCGACGAGCTGAGAGTCGATCTGGTGGTAGATGAAGCACTTGTGACTGGCTTCCGGGCAGCCGTACCGGTGGCTGTGCCCGTTCCGGTTCCATTTGTGGCCGGCTTGCGAGCCGTGGTGCTAGCCGCTGGGCGTGGAGCAGTCGAAGTCCTGGCAGCACTTGTCGTCGGCTTGCTGGCCGTGGTCTTGGATGCTGCAGCTGTTGGCTTGCTCACCGGAGCCGTGGCCGGTCGTGTTGTTGTGCTGCTCAAGGCTGTTCTGGGCGCCGATGGTTTAGCTGAAGTTCCGGCACTGCTGCTACTCAATGGCTTCCTGGTGGCTGCCGTTGGCGGAGCTGAAGTCGCTGGCTTGGTGGTGGCAACAGGAGCGGTGCGAGGACGAGCTGTGGTCGTCTTGGCGGTTGTGGTAGAGCTGGTTGTGGTCTTCTTGATCGCAGTGGAAGCTGTAGTACCAGCTGGCTTGGGCTTGCTGGCTGCGGGTGCTGTCTTGGCGGCCGGCTTCTTCGTCTCCTGGGGACTGGGCTTGCGATCCTTGGATTTGGTGGTGGCAGCCACAGCGGCAACGGTCACAGCTGCAGCGGCAGCAGCAACAGCAGCCACTTCGGCCACAGGCACTGCTTGCTCCTCATACTTTTCGCTTTCAGGAAGATCGTCCACCACGGGCTCGGTAGTTGGAAGCACAGCTTCTTCGGTCTGGGAAAGCACGGGCTCCTCTGCAACAGCAGCGGCAGCCACAACAGCGGCGGCAGCAGTGGTCTGTTCCACAAACTCTTTAGCCACGGGCAGCAACTGTTCCTCTGGAGCAATAAACTGTTGATCCTGGGCCACAAAATCTCCAATGGGTGGCAGTACTTGCTCCTCTGGAGCGGCGGAGAACTGCTGCTCCTGGGGCACAACAAAGTCATCGTTGAGTGTTGGCTGCTCCTGTAACTGAACCTCTGTTGGCTGCTCCTGCAACTTGTCGCCCAAATCGAAGTACTTGGACTCAAAATCTGGCTTGGCCGTGTACTGCTCCTCCTCCACCAGCTCCTCCTGCAACTGAAGCTCATTGAAGCCGTTGCCAGTTGCCTGTGTTTCCGGTTCAAGATGAGCGGCTATTGGTTCCTCCAGATCCAAGTTTACAGCCGGCGTGAAGGGTTGGGCAAATGGATTAATGCCCTGTTCCAAGACTGGCGCTGTATCCGCATCGTGTTGAGCTTCATAGCCGGGAGCTGCATTAAAGGCAGCGTACTCCTCCAACTGCAACAGAGAGACAAGTAAATGTGTGAGTAGGCGGTAAAGATACTTTGGCTTTAACTAGGAAATCCCTTGCTATAAATACTCTTTTTTCATGGGAGCCAACACCCAAAAGCATGATTCAAGTGTAAAACATCATCATCATCACCAAACCAACAATGACAAACAAAACAACACTTGGCCTGTGTCTGAGTCTGACCCCTCCCGGAGTCCTTAGCATTCATTTTGCGCCTCCCCCCAAAAAAAGAAAAAACAACAACTTCTCGCTTCTGTTAAATCGATAAATGCAATGAGCCATCTCCCTGCTTCTCGTGTATCTTCCAAAGCAAAATATATATAAAAAAACAGACACAAAATGTGGCACTGCCGTTAGCGCTGTGCGTCAGGGAAAATGTTACTTATGGCATTATTGCGTCCATGTCTCGTAAAAATATCTGGCAGATGCAGCTACAAAGTATTTTCAGGCCTTTTGGGTGAGAGGCCAACGAAAATAAATCAGGCTCTGCAAATACACACCACACAACGCAGACAAATTTCCAGCTAAATAAATATGGGGGAGCAAGAGTGAATGAATATCAAAAGTTTGCTCCCATTATGAGTAAGAGGAATTAGCCAAGAAATTATTATATTATACCAGATTAAGGCATTAAAAAGATCGTATGAAGAAGAGTCCTAAAAACTAAGAAGAACTTTAGAATAGGATCATTTGGAGTTTAGTTTACAGAGCTTAGAAACGGGTTTGCAGTAATGAAAATACTTTTAAAAGTCTAAGAAATACATAAACTATTTTAAACCATTTTGCTAAGAAGATAAATCCCAGAAATTCTGTAAAAATGTAACTAAAAATGTATTTTCAAACTAAAACTATTCCTTTTACAACTTTTCTAGACAGTTCCACATGTACTTTTTCCCAATCGATTGTCAGACCCCCTCGGGCAGCATCCCTCACTCAACCCTTGGCTTGTGGATCTGGAAAATTCGGGGGAAAACTAAGGGGGAGTGTCGTCTGCCATTCTCCGCCTGCTCTCGTCTCAGATGTCGTCTGCGCATCGCATTCCCGGGGTTGACACGCCACGGACACACTCATTACCAATGCATACAAATTATTATAATGACATCAGCAGTGACAGCAGAACTTGTGAAAGTGAGAAAGCGGCTGGCAGGCTGGCAAACTGGCAGAAGTGCGGCAACATGACATTCTTTGCCAACAAACAAAAAGGCACACTAAACCAGGGAGCCAACAAACCAACCATGATGACTTGGCCAACAAATGGAACAGAAAAAAACGGAAGGGTATCCATAGTTCAGTCTGCGTTTATGGCCACAAACAAGATCTCTAAGTAAAGTTTTTCATTTCCTATCATTATCTGATCTAAAAAATTCTCAAAGAAATATTCTGAATCTTATTTTAATCCAAATTTATATAGAACAAATATTAATAAATATTATAATTTAATAACTGCCTTGCTTTCCTTACAATTTGTATTAATTTTATAAAATCTTTACTACTTTTCTTGAAAGAGTATACATTTCCAATGCACCTGCTTCTTTATCGTTGTAAATCTAGGAAATTGTGAGAACTATCTGTAGCAGGGTCCGGGATCGAGATCAAAATAACTACAATCTACCTTCGAACGTTGATACAAGTGCTTATAAAGTATAAAACAAAAAACACACACCTGAGAGACGCGGCAAAAAGGTGGAAATGGAGAAAGAAGCGGGTCGGCAGGAAACGTGTCAGTGACTTAGTGGTGTGACTTGGCGTTACTTTTGGACTCTGCCACCGCAGGTGTCGGGGATTGGGGATTGGGGATTGGGGGCTGGGGACTGGGCGGAAAATGTAGCGTTAACATTTTTTCCGGCACTTTTCCTCTATCACGCAAAAGACCGCACAGCACAAAAGCATTGCGCTCTGAAACTAGAAAATGTCATTGACCAGTAAATGCCACCAGCCGGGGCCATTTGCCATCGGTCGGTGGCCGCTCCCCCCATGGTCCCCCTTTGGGTTCCCTTAGTGCCTCGCCGCAGTTCGCAGCTCCACTAGACTTCATTCCGCTCCACAGTTGGCCCTCGGATTTCCCAATTCCTTGTTGCCGCCAGTTGCTAGGTTGCCCACTTTTTAGCCCACTCGCCCAGCAATGGCTGGCCGGCTGACTTTCTTTTGCTGCACTTGGCGAAAATCCATACACATGTAGTTCTTATATTGATCTATAATACAGTATTAAGTTACCAAAGCTAAAAAAGAGGAGACAATCTTACAAAGTATAGGAAAAATTAGGGAATTCTTAAAAAGTTTAATTTAAAGTTGAAGTTATAGCAAAATACAAACACAGTTTCCCTATAATTCACAAGTACTCTTTCAGAACAGATGCTGTAATTTTTAAATTGTATCAAGAACTTTTTAACCTTGTATAAAATTTCTTTAATAACTAAGTAGACATTTTTATAGGCTCTCCTTATTTCCCCAAGTGTATTACTCTGTTTTGGCCTCCACCGTGGACTCTCGGCTTGGACTGTTGCTCAAGCGTAATGGGGTTAAAAGTGAGCTGAAGCGAATAAGACAAAAAGACACACAACAAAAAAAATAAGAGCTCGGCTTAGTCAGAGGAGAGGATTGCTGGCTTAGTTGGAGTTTGTTTTAGTTACTGACCATGACTCATCGTCGCCATCATCATCATCAGCCGATGCGGTATAGTACAACTTTTGCCAATCAATCATGGCCAAAAAATGAGGTAATATGCGTTTTAAAATAGCGCATTTTCTAAGCCATCAAGCTTCCCTTAAATTCTTATTTTCTTTTTATTTTCTGCATAACTTAGTAGCAGCGATAATTGCTTGGAATCTTATCAGTTTACAGGGGCAAAAAGCTTTGACTAAAATGCCGGCCGGTGAGTTCATTGATTGTTTTGCCTCTTTTCCCTCAAAAATAACCTACTTGACAAATATAAATATAAATAATATAGCTATTACTCATTCATACAGCTTAGGTTAATATTTTAGAAACATATAATTTACTGAGAGATACATAAGTTTTCTACAAATTTGAAAGTGCTGATGATGATTAGATCATTTTTAACATGGTTTATATTTCGTTTTAACAACAAAATCAATGATTTAAATATTAATATGTATGGCAAAGTTTTAAGAAATTTAAAAAGGACTTCTTGTAGTACCTAAAAGTAGCTAATTTTGATCGAAAATAATTTGAATTCTAATATATAATAAGTATTATAAAACCAGTGCTAATATGTTAAACTCAAAAGTATCATATTCTCTACAAACAAAAAAACCTCAAATAGAAGCAAAACGAATTATGAATGAGATTTCACTGTAGGTTTCTCGAAATTTAAGTGTTCACTTCTCGAGCTTTATTTACAAATCATTTTGGCACTGGCAGAAACCGGCAGGAAAAAAACAACAACAATTTCATTTGTTCAACAAATTGTGGGTGTTTGTATTGGTCAGAGTGAGAGAGGCAGAGAATCTCTGACTGACTGTGTTTGTGCCGAAAATAAAAAAATAAAAAGGGAGAAAAATTCGCAACGATGACATCAACAATTTCTCGTTTGCGAGTCATGCCAAAATTTTGTGTTCACCTTTTAGTTTTTTTCGTTTGATAATTGCAAAAAGTGCGCAGCAAATAAAGAAATTGCACGAAAGTTCAGAGAGAGAGAGAGAGTGACGGTGAGAATTATTATTTGGGGAATAGGCAGGTAAACGAGCCAAAATGAGAGCAGGTTTTATTTGTTTAAACAAACGAAGGAACAGCCGTGAAATAAACGCAAATATCAAGTTCAACAGATGGCGAACATTTTGCATGGGAAACATCGAATGACGATGAGAGGCGGTGTATGCGGTCGTTGGATATAAATTCAAATAAAATTTAAATCACACCGAACGAGGCATGCAAAGGCAATTTATAGAGAGTCGCAGATTTTTGGGGGCAACTACAGTCCATTCCCAATAAGGGTGAAATCAATTTGCTTTACTTGGAAAAGAAAGGATCAACCAATTAATAAGTAACATTTATGGATAAAAAAAACATATATTTGTATTTTACAGCTAACTAGTTTTTCTTCCTGGCTCCCTTCTTAGCAATATCCCTGCAATGTACAATCAATGTTTATAGATACTGTTCGGAAGAAGTAATTTTTGGTAACTTAAAGAGCTTCTACGTTCAAAACACAACTGTTCTTTTCACTCTTTATTTTTAGAAACTAAAGCAAACGATCAATTAACCAAATTTATAGTTTAATTGAGAAAAGAAGATAAATTTGTGAAGCCGAAGTTTAGTTACCTATAGGACAATGGATTTGCATGTTTAGTCGATCATAACTAAGCCAAAAATGCTTTAATTTCGATTCAGAAATCGTTCCTATATTAGTTTTTATTAGGTTAACAAATCTGCAAATTTTTTTCTACACCGGAGATGGCTAGAAAGACTCGGCTGTTGATTCTGATCAAGAATATTTAAGATTTACAGGGTCGGAAATGACTTCTTTACTGCGTTGCATGCTATTTACTAAAATTATAGTACTCTGGAAGGGTATACAAGTGTGTATTTGTATTTCCAGCACGACTCCTATTTCTACCTCGCTTTTTTTCCCTGTAATGCACAAGCAAACCTTATAGATTCTGTTTAGTAGGTAAAAAGAGAGTTTGTTATTAGGATTATTTATGGTTTGAGCCTAATATACGATCTCTAACTGCCCCAGTTAAGTTTCAAATATAATTCACTTTAGGCAGTTTGAACTGTATGACAAATCACTTGGTATTGACTCACTGTCGCCGTTCTTTTTCTTTTCGACATTCGATGTTTGACATGTCTCTTGATGGCTCGTTAGAAACCCAAAAGGGGAACGAGTGAGTCGGTACAGTGGTCATTGGTTTGAAGGTACATTAGTATGTACATATACATAGGGAGACCCAAAGAGACTGACTTGGTGGTGGCCAAAAATGGAATGCAATTGACAACCGTCGACTGTTTTTGGCCAAAGGCACGC